AACTACAGAGTTGAGGACTAAGTGTCCAGGTGTTTTGAAGTATATAATAATTAACTACAGAGTTGAGGACTAAGTGTCCAGGTGTTTTGAAGTATATAATAATTAACTACAGAGTTGAGGACTAAGTGTCCAGGTGTTTTGTTCTATCTAAAGAGCTGTTTACAGTAAGAATCTCTTGGAACAATAATTATTTGAGCAAAAACTTCTATAGTTAAATGTTAACGTTCGGACACCTAATAAACAAAAATGACAGGGAGAAGAAAAAAAAGGATAATTTTTGTAAGACTGTCATGTTTATCGGGCTTTTTCTTTGATTAGCTTTCGGGGCTGCAATGTGTCTCGTTGAAAAACAAGCAACTGATCGTTTGATAGAGAAACAAAAGTAAGTAAATTATAACATTCACTGGTACAAAATCAACAAACCCACCCCCCACCCCTCCCAATGGCTCAGTGGTCAATCTGAAGGCTTATAATGTTCAAAACCGTATTTCAATACCTGTGGTGGGCGCAGTACAGATAGCCCATTGTGTAACTTTGCGCTTAAAAACCAAGAAAATATAACAAATCGGGTTTATAAAAATTTCATATTTTTAGATGTAAATAGGTTTGTCGATATATAAATCAATATTCTCATGGATTGATGTGAGGGTAACAAAAACTCATTAGTGATATCTGAAAGCTACAGTAATTCTATCAGTTTCTCACAGCTTATTCAGTACTTTCTTGTCCAATCAATGGGTTTCTTCAGGAAGTTTGCCCAATCAATGGGTTTCTTCTGGAAGTTTGCCCAATCAATGGGTTTCTTCAGGAAGTTTGCCCAATCAATGGGTTTCTTCAGGAAGTCTTCCAATCAATGGGTTTCTTCAGGAAGTTTATCCAATCAATGGGTTTCTTCAAGAAGTTTATCCAATCAATGGTTTTCCTCAGTAAGTGTATCCAATCAATGGTTTTCCTCAGGAAGTGTATCCAATCAATGGTTTTCCTCAGGAAGTGTATCCAATCAATGGGTTTCTTCAGGAAGTTTATCCAATCAATGAGTTTCTTCAGGAAGTTTATTCAATCAATGGGTATCTTCAGGAAGTTTATCCAATCAATGGTTTTCTTCAGTAAGTTTATCCAATCAATGGGTATCTTCAGGAAGTTCCTCTACTGATTGCGTTTAGGCTAGAGTTATTTCCACGTTCAAGAGAAAATCCAGGTTTGATGATTAACGTAGAAAAACTCAAATGTTGGATTTATGAACTATGAGCCACCACTAAACCCTTAGAAATATGCAAAATAAAACAATCGCTGTCAAGTGTCTTTTAAGGCTAGAAAAAAAATCCATAAAGTTCCGTCCGCCAGTGGACAAGCGGTAAGCTTACGGACTTATAACTCTAACATCCGGGGTTCAATTTCCCGCGGCGTACACAGTAAACAGCCCAATGTGGCTTTGCTCTGAAACAAAAAACGCCATTGTACAGTAGGATTGTGGATTTTTAATTGACCTTAATTATTCATTACTTTTTTGTTTTTTTCCTGTTGTTCTGTGTTTGAGTAGAGAATAATGTTAAAACTATATTTTTACATTGTTGTCAAAATTACCTAAAAATATACATATAAATTCTCGTGACACTTCAGAGATAGAGCCTATCCGGTTCCCGCCAAAACACACACATATATATATATATAGTACTTTCGTGACTATTTTAGAGATAAAGCCAATTCAGTTCCCAACTAATCAGGACTAAAATGAGAGAACGTGAAACGATAGTGAAGAAACTTCGAAAGCGATGGATAATATCCAAACCTAAATTTAAAATTAAAGATGGTGACGTTAATGCAACAACTGATGTTATGTGAGAATCACGGAGAATGAATGTTAAATATTTAATAACCACCACGTGTCTAATTTTGCAGTTACTAAAATCAAAACAAATATGATAAAAAAAGGTAAGGTGTTTAAAAAATATGTGGTTCTTGCGTTGTGTTAATTCATCTGTGAGGACTTTGACAGAAAAGTAAACTTAATGGATAAAACAGTGACTTGACAGTAGGTGGTGCTGAACATAATATATATTCCTGAGAGCTGGTTACGAGGTTAAGAACCCTTCAAGTCGTCACTCTGCGTATGATCTATTACATTTCTTACAGTCATTGAATTTCTAGACCATGCCAAATACAATACCAGAGCAAATTTTTTGGTTCTTCATTTTTTCAAGCTTCAATCCTTAATTTCTGGACCATACCAAATACAATACCAGAACAGATTTTTTGGTTCTTCATTTTTTCAAGCTTCAATCCTTAATTTCTGGACCATAACAAATACAATACCAGAGCAGATTTTTTGGTTCTTCATTTTTTCAAGCTTCCATCCTTAATTTCTGGACCATAACAAATACAATACCAGAGCAGATTTTTTGGTTCTTCATTTTTTCAAGCTTCCATCCTTAATTTCTGGACCATACCAAATACAATACCAGAGCAGATTTTTTGGTTCTTCATTTTTTCAAGCTTCCATCCTTAATTTCTAGACCATACCAAATACAATACCAGAACAGATTTTTTGGTTCTTCATTTTTTCAAGCTTCCATCCTTAATTTCTGGATCATAACAAATACAATACCAGAGCAGATTTTTTGGTTCTTTATTTTTTCAAGCTTCCATCCTTAATTTCTGGACCATACCAAATACAATACCAGAGCGGATTTTTTGGGTTCTTGATTTTTTTCAAGCTTCCTTTCTTACGACATATTGAAAAAAATAAAGATGGTAATGAAAATTTAGATATTAGATATCATTGATGAGTGATATCCGTTAATTCAGAAGTAAATTGACAAAGATAAATGTTAAGAATGGACTTTTGTTTGTCGGATGAATTGTCTGACATCAAGTTTGAGCCAGTTAAGCGACTTCAATCATGGTTTTTATAAGTAGGATAGCCTGTTTTTAGTGTTACTGTATCCCAGTCGTCACCATGTTATCCAAAATAATTTCCTGACTCGGCACCCCATTACTGATAAATGAAGTCCTAATTAATGTATTTAAAGTTACCAATTATATGTAACATAATTTTTTTTTGTTTTTCTGCTAAGATTAGTCTGAAAGAAATTCACTTGACTCCAACCCCCATAATTCGTAGAATCCCCCTTTATTGTGTTACACAACAAACGCGATTCTTTCTGTAACCATTTAATATTGGTTTAATTGTTTTAGATACAAAGTCACAACATGGGTGTATGGATTTTCATGGTTTTTCTGTAACGATATAATGTACTTATCTCTTCCTCTCACAGGACCGCGTTTGCACTGTGGCTACTGATGGACATTCTTCTATGTACTGTTCCTAGATATGGAGCCTTCTGCTTGCAGCTCACGGGAGCCGCCATGTTGCTCACTAACGCCATCTATGCTCTCTTACTGCCTCGGAAGCCTTTAGTCATCCCTTTCGAGGAAGGAACCATTACCTTTGAATATGGATGGTGTTTCTGGCTTGTCCTTGGCACAGGTAAGTCATGTTGGTTACTCTCTCTCTCGTTTTTTCATCTGATTCTACTTTAGTTTTTCTCTTACAACTGGAATTTGAAAGGCGAGAAAACTTTCATTAAGTATAAGCAAAAGATGATGTAATTTTAAGGGCCATTTTTTTTACAATTATCAATTGGTCACTTCGAGATGTCTAAAAATGTTCAAAGTTTGAAAAGGAACAAGAATCTGAGTGACTATGTTGAAAATATACTTGGTTTGACTCAGTGTACAGGTTTTTCTCATAGTGACTATAAAGCTCGTTAACACCAACAATATGTTTGATACTGTTTCACTATGATATAGGTCCAGCTTATCTCTCTTTGGTTAACTTGTGTTCAGGTTACTGATGGGGAGTGGAATTCTCCGAAACTAGTATAACCCAATAGCACGTGTTGATCAAACTGTAGATTGAACTGGACCTACCTTGAACTCAGACTTCGAGAATACTAAGTTTATTTATTATAACATCCTAGTTGTTAACAGTAACATCAGGACACTCTGAAAGTGGTACTTTCTAACCCTAAAGAAGGTTTATATGCTTCACATATTGTTCTGACAAATAAACAAACGGGAAGAAGATGAAAGTAACAGATTCAGAAAATATAAATCAGTTGAAATTATAAGTATTTAAAAAAAACAACACTGGTGGAATGAGAAAGAACGTTAACATGAAAGACATCCATCATAAATCAGAGACCCTTAAAGTTCAGTCATAGCTATCCCTAATTCGACCTACTGGCAGCCAATCAGCAACATCCTCTACCTATATGGAATATAGAATAGCAGGATTGGTTGTTGCAATTATAAATGGATAAAAGATGTACTGAGATAATGGATCAGAGCAGAGTTTGTGTGTGTGGATAAAAGCTGTACTGAGATAATGGATCAGAGCAGAGTTTATGTGCGTGGATAAAAGCTGTACTGAGATAATGGATCAGAGCAGAGTTTATGTGCGTGGATAAAAGCTGTACTGAGATAATGGATCAGAGTAGAGTTTGTGTGTGTGGATAAAAGCTGTACTGAGATAATGGATCAGAGCAGAGTTTATGTGTGTTTAAGGTGTCAAAAGGGAGTGTACAGAGCAAGCTGAAATAGGGAATTGGGGTGAAATAAACTGGGAAGGGTTGTAAAAGTAACAAATAGTTAGCAGTTGTAATTGTGACAAAGAAAAGATAAACCGATAATCAATAATTGTCAGTGTTGCAAAGAAAAAAAGAAACCGCAATACGTAATAATTGTCAACGTGAGAAAGACACCAAAAGTTAGTTGTCGTTAATATTTTTAGCGTGTAGCTCAAGAATGAACTATCTATGCTTTGTGGATCCCCGGATTTCGGATTTTAGCGTTCCATCCCGCTAACTTATCACTGACCAAATAATTAATAATTATATACGTGACAAGAAAAAGAAATAAAAAGAAGCCAATAATTAGTAGGGTTTCAGTGTGACAAACCAAAAAAGAAACCGGTATTTAATAGTTGTCAGAGTGAGAAATAACAGAGAAGCTGATAATTAATAGTTACCATTATGAAAAATAAAAAAATTAAACAGCTAATTAATAGTTGTTACTGCGACAAAGAAAAATAAACAAACACAACATAATCATCATGGAAAGTATACAAAGAATGACTGCCAGAGAATTTTATAGGAAATGTAGAAAGAAAAAAAAAGATTTAAAAAAAAGCTTTATTAAACACTCAAGTAGAACTACAAACAGAAGAAAAAATGTGAGAAAAAGGATAACTTAATAAATATTGTCGTTGTTCACCATATGTAAAAAAAAGGCTTAAGAAAAGAAAGAAAAGAAAAAAATTACAAAAAACTTTATGAAACACTCAAGCGGAAAGAAAAAAAGAATAAGGATGATCCAATAAGTCAAAAAAACTTTATTAAACACTCAAGCGGAAAGAAAAAAAGAATAAGGCTCTCTGTTTATCAGACATGCCCGGCATGGCTAGGTGGTTAAGGCACTCGACTCGCAATCTGAGGGTCGCGGGTTCGAATCCCCGTCACACCAAACATGCTCGCCCTTTCAGCCGTGGGGGCGTTATTATGTGACGGTCAATCCCACTATTCGTTGGTAAAAGAGTAGCCCAAGAGTTGGCGGTGGGTGGTGATGACTAGCTGCCTTCTCTCTAGTCTTACACTGCTAAATTAGGGACGGCTAGCGCAGATAGCCCTCGTGTAGCTTTGCGCGAAATTCAAAACAAACAAACAATCATCAGACATGCACAACAAATAAAGTTACAAAAATGTATAAAACTAAGCACAAGTTCAACAACAGACAGTAAGTTATGAATATAAAAAAATGCAACTATCTCTCTCACTGACTTTGTTTTCCCGCGGAAAAATATCAAATACAAGTCAGAGTTTTTAAGTTTTCAATAGTCACAAACAAACTGTAGCGTGTAGCGTATGCTGTTCATCTCACAGAGCATCGTCCTGCTTGCGAAATTGAGTTTAATGACTTCGACCATTTCATTACCGTTTCTAGCGTGTAAAATATTACTGTAGAAAACTTATCTTGATGCAGCTGAGTTGTTCTTTATCCCTGTGATATTTGGCGCACTTTTTTTATATATATAGGTCAGCATCTCGTGACATGCGGATTTCGAGTGTTATTAGATGTTTATCGTTAGGATGTGATAATTAACTCGAAGAAGGCCTATATCGTGACATTGTTTTATCTCATATTATTACGACATTAGTTTTAATCTGTCGTCCTTGAGTACAGTGAAACAATGTTCGAGGCGGAAAGATATGTATTCTAATTGCCAGAAGAGTATATTAGCTAACGTAAGCAAGAAGTTGAAGTAATTTTTGAAGTGAATGCTCATGATGTGATACGGGAAGAAGTAATGACCAAACATAGACTCATGTGTCAGCTCACTCACGTGTCAACAACCTTAAGTACACGATAATCTGCTTGATAAATATAATAGGTTCTCGTTTTGTTTTTATAGGCCTTCTACTTGACAATATAGGAGATTGTCTCCCCTAACGGAACATTCTAGAACTAATTTTAGCGGGATAAAAATGACATGGCAGTTTTTTGTTTGCAATTTCGCGTGGGCTACCTGCACTAGCCGTCCCTAATTTAGTAGCGAAAGACTAGAGGGAAGGCAGTTAGTCATCACCACCCACCGCCAATTCTTGGGCTACTTTTTTACCAACGAACAGCGGGATTGACTGTACTTATAACGTCCCCCACGGCTGAAAAGGGCGAACATGTTTGGTGGGACGGGGATTCGAACCCGTGACCTTCAGGTTGCGAGTCAAACGCCCTAACCACCTGGCCATGCAGAGCCACATGGCAGCTGCAGAGACTCTTGCAGTGAGCTTTAAGTGTTTGATTATTTAACCAACCGTCTGTGTGCACCTTACATAAATCAATAAAAATTTGAGTCATCGCTTTCCAAGAAACACGTTTTCTATGACGTTACTATCGGCGTAATTATTGTCCATATTAAGTTTTGGGCCAATATATACATTTCACGTGTTTCTATATTCATTCATATCTGATCTAGTTTATAACTTTCATATATAAACACTTTACATTTACATGGTAGTTTTATTCACCTTTTATAGTTTTGTTTTGAATTTCGCGCAAAGCTACACGAGGGCTATCTGCGCTAGCCGTCTCTAATTTAGCAGTGTAAGACTAGAGGGAAGGCAGCTAGTCATCACCACCCACCGCCAACTCTTGGGCTAATCTTTTCCCAACGAATAGTGAGATTGCCGTCACGTTATAACGCCCCCACGGCTGAAAGGGCGAGCATGTTTGGTGTGACGGGGATTCGAACCCGCGACCCTGATATTGCGTGGCCAGGTGGTTAGGACACTCGACTCGCAATCTGCGCGTCGCGGGTTCGAATCCACATAGCTGTCGTGTAGCTTTGCGCGATATTCATAACAAAGAAACAAACTTTAATTAAAAACCTCCTCAGTGGTACGTCTGAGGGTTTTTAACGCTAAAAATCGAGTTTCGATGCCCGACTTGAAAACTCCACAGATAGCCCATTGTGTGACTTTGAAACATATCAAGATATGAATAACTGGCACACTAACTCATGTTTAAACTTAAGAGATTTACTCCTAAAAGTTATGTTACTAGTGTATATGGACTATGTTAATAGCTGGTATAAATTATGTTAATGATGGATATAAATTATGTTAATGGTGGATATAAATTATGTTAATGATGGATATAAATTATGTTAATGATGGATATAAATTATGTTAATGATGGATATAAATTATATTGATATTTAGAAATCTTATTAAGAGTGCATATAAGTTACGGAGTTAAATTTCTTATAGAATTCCTACTCATATTCACCACAGTTTGACATCAGAGAATGAATTCGTAATAAATATATTTCACGTTAGAGTGCGCTGGTGTCTCGCGCTCTCCAGATCCGACGAAGGAGGTCAAACATTCGTCCCACTGTTTGTGACTGGAAATAAATAAATAGCTGAAGCTATGTATTCAACAGCTTAAAATTGCACGTTATTCACCAGCAAAGTGTAGTAGACCCATTTCAAGTTAATCGGTGACGTCAAATACAATCGGTGCTTAACCATAAACGAGACAGTTAACCTACAATTTCACGTTAGCATTTGGAGTCTTTAGTTTGGGTCAGACTTTGCCCGAGGTAAGTGCAACTAAACTGGGAAAGTCAAGGCATTCCAGACATGCACTTTACTGACTTAGCAGAGGAGTAGTTGATCTAACATTTTGGTTAATATCACTCTTTTGATGTTTGCTGAAAACAACTGTTAGAAAGAGCAGCGTCGATATATCTCATGTTTGCAAATGAAAGTTTATACGTTTCAAGTGCTACAATCAAATATTGATTCATAAGTAATTTTTTCTCCACAACGTAGAATCAGAGGTAAAACACGTATCAAAATCAAGTGTCCTTATGTAATATTTATTGAATTTTTTTTAGATCTTGTAATTCCATAGGCTTAAGTTTAA